TATGTGGACTTTAGATCTATGGCAAATACAGCAATGTGATTGGACTTGGGTTATATGACAAGGGGAGAGCACATATGAAAGGTATGGGGATAGGTAGAAAACTCAAAACATTAAAGTGTTTGATGTCCCCACTCCAGAGGAACTAATACAGAAACCTTAAAGCAAGCGACAGAGGTTAACATGAGAAGGGGATCAGGAACCAGTGTAAAGATCATTTAAGAGATGAAATCAACTTGGGTTGAAACATTTGTACATGAATGCAACTGCTAGATCTTTCTGTATAGCTATCCTTAACTAAGCAAAAAACACTTTGTCTTCCTTATTATGCTTAAGTCTTCTCTTCAATAAAATTAGAGATAAGGGCAGAACAGGTTCTGCCTGGAAGGTGGGGAGGAGATGGTAAGGAGGGGGGCAGGGGGGAATAAATGACCCAAACAATGTATGCACATGTAATAAATGAATAATAAAAAATTTTTTTAAAAAATAAGATCAGCCAAAACCAAAAATAATTTATCTACATAAGAGAATCATCACATTGTTTTAACAGTCAAATTTACCAAATGCTGTTACTTTTATTTATGGGGAATTAGTGTAACCAAGTTTTTAGAAATGGTTTTACTAGGCGTATGTTGACATACACTTGCTTTACATGTGTTTATTTTTTCCAAACTTTAAAAATTGTCATGAGTCTTTTCAACCTACTTTTTTTTCTCCCTCAATAAATTTTTCTTTTTCTCCTATAAAATTATAAGTCAATCACATATTTCCTTCTTTGAATTAACTTTTCTTTCGACTGCTTAATTCCATCAAGACTCCTGAGAGATGGCACAGCCTCAAGGAAGCTTTCCCTGATTCACCTGAACTGAATTAGTTGCCTCTTCTCAAAGGTCCACAGCATATATTATGTATTTGTTTTCCTAATTGGACCATGAACTCCTCAAGAGCCCTGAAGCCATCTCTCATCTCTTAATCTGCTGGACCAGGGTAGACAGTCAGTGGCCAATAAATGTTAGTAAATAGAAAAAAAAAGGAGGGACTAAATGAATGGTATTTCTATTTCCTCCATCATTTCTCTTTTCCTTCATTCTCATTTCATATCTTCCTATTATTTCTCCCCAACCACTAATGCATCATCTTTATCCTTCTGTTCTTAGATTCCACACACATCAAGACTTTCAATCTCTCTCATGAGATCCTAACTATGGCAAAAATGCTGATCTGGTGTCAGTAGCACTGGCTTAAGAGTTTGTTGCTCTTTAGCATTGCAAAGAAGGGATTTGTTTTTATCAGGCCCCGGATTAATCTCTATTATTTCTCCTCTCCTGTGTTTTAGCTAGGGATTTTTAATATGCTTTAGCTGTACCTAGTTTTCAATGTTAGCAGCTGGGTAAACAGACTTTCTGCAACACTCTGGATAAAATGGCAAGCTCAAGGGGAAAGTCTTTCACATTAAAATTAAAGAAAAAAAAAAAAAGACTTGCTTACAGGCATGATTGGGGAATAGCAACACCTGAGAGCCTTGGAGAACTGTGTGTGCTGGCTGTGGAACACTCAGCTGATGACCAAAACAGGCAGTGGCCTTCCTGAAGGAGGCTGATGCTCTCAGAGAAAAGCCTTGAATGGTATTTAGCAAGACCCACAGAGAAGTAAATGACAGACATCTCTGATGGGCACTTTCACAAGGTCTTATGAATTTCATAGTACACAAAGGAAACACCTGATTCTAACAAAGTTTAAATGAATGCTTGCCATGCATACTCAAAAACTGCTAAGGAAAATATAGAAGGTAGATTTTGAAACATGAGAGGAAATCCATGTGTCTACCATGGAGTGTTGGCTTTGTAAAAGTCCATAAAAGCTTCAGTTTTCAGTTTGGGATGTCAAGTTGGTTGTAAGAAGTAAGAGTTGTTTGTTGATTTTTAAATAAATGCTGTGAGTCCGTCATTCCTACAGTTTATTTTTAAAGTTAGTATACTTCTAACTCATTCTCACAAATCCCTCTATATTTTTACATGTTTTAAAGATTTCCTAAAATAAAAATATAGGCCATGGAAAGCATATAAGAGCAGCAAATAAAAGTAGTTATGATGTTGCAATGTTTAATAGCAGACAACAAGCAAAAACATGCTATGCTCACATTCTAATGTAGCTACTGTAACTAAAAATATGCTTTCAAGATAGATGTAATTGGCAAACCACAAAAGAAAAAGTTGTAGAATTTATATCAACATGAAAAAAAAAACTAGACAACAAATGATTAACAGGCACAGCTTGTAGCTGCAATAATTTTTTAAAGCAACGATTTAAAAGGTTATATGAAAACCATGGAAAAACTTCTTAGGCACATTGAAACAGATGTTATAAAAGGTTTCAAATCAACACAAACAACAATGAGAAACATGTCTTCTGGAAAGTCTGCAAGGATTTCCCTAACGAAAGTCTAGGAGGTATAACTTATTATTATTATTTTAATGTCCTAGGGATTGAACCCAGGGCCTCGTGCATGCGAGAGCTCTCTTTTTTTTTTAAACCATATTCCTAGTGTACCAGTCCCTGGTATGTACTGGATAAATATCTGTTCAATGAGTGAGTGAATGAATGAGAAGCATTCGCCACTGAGACTCATGGGTCCTACTGCTCTCTCCGGGTTAGAAATGAGGTTTTGCTGCCTTCATGTGCTAGTATACTTCAAACTCTTGACCAGATGGACATTTTCCTTCAAAACTTCCTTTTGGGTTAGATAAAAAATATAAGGTGCTGATAAGCAAACCATTTTATGACCTCCACCACAATAAAAAGAAAAAAAACCTTATTTCACAAGTTTAAACTCCTACTTTATCACAAAGGCTGTGATGACTCTCACAGCCCGATCTGCCTTCTCTTCCCCTCACTCCCTCTGGCCTGGTCCTCATGTTTTCTCCTGCTCATCCAGCCCCAATCACACTGTCCCACTCTCGGCCTCAGATTTGATCCCAGACATCCCTCTCTTGTTTCTTGCAGGCCTTTGCTCAAGTGTCACTCTATCAGACAGGTTCCCTGTCCAGAAATGAAAGAGCCAACCTCTGAACAATAGTGACATTTGTCCAGAAAAATTCACGATAAACAGGAATGAACCAATCACCTCATCTTTCCTGCTGGTCATCACTGTTTGATTCACCATGGAGGAGAAGAGAATGAGCTGGAAGGGACTTGGAGAACTGTAACCATAAAGGCCAACACACTAGCAGAAGACAGCATAAAACTTGGCCTCTAAACAACTGAGGGCCCTAATTTCTGCATCACCTAACTTAACAACATCACCTGTGATGATGTGATCTCCCTATCAAATTCCCTCTCATAGAGAAATTTTCTTAGTCTCTTCCTCAGAGTGTGCTTTCTTGAATTTGAATAAGAATATAATAACCTTATGAGTTCAAGAATGCGGAAACGCCTACTTCTGGGTATATAAAGGTAAAAAGAAGGTGTCAGATTATTTAATTCACTCCAAAGAGGAAAAATTAAAATCTGCCAGAAGTCTTTGCACAGTAGAATTCTATAACAGAATTTAGCAAGGAATAAAAATTTTAGGACAAAGGAAACCAAGGACTTAACTTTGTGGCTCTTGAACCTATCAAAGTGTTGGCACCTAGATAATAGGCTGATACTTATATCTGCCTGGGTTTTATATTTTCTTGGGATCTGCTCTTCTCACATCATGGACATGATTTATTTAGACTATCAAAGAGCTTTTGATAAGGTTCTCACAAGTAGCTATTATTGAAACTTGGTAACCATGGGGTGAAAGGAAAAAACTCATATCAATGAATTAAATGAATTAAAAATGCTTAAAAGGCGAAGCAGAAATAAATGGCCAATTCTCATGTAGAGAAAAGGTTAATCATTGAGGGCTCTAGAGCTTTGCGGTAGAATAAGAAAGTAGAATCAGGAAGGGGCACCCAATTCTCTTTCTTCCATTCTGTGTGTATCGGTCCTACACAGAGCCCCCATTGATGTGAATAGCATTTGTCACAAGGAGGAGATACATACAATGTAAAGAAGTATTTAAAAACCTGCAATGAACAAATAAATAAATGAATATTGACTCATAATTTCTTACAGAGATCCAAAATACAAAGGGCATGGAAATAAAAGTAAAATTAGCAGAATTTTATTTTCCAAGAACTTTAATCTATGATACATGGAAAAACATGAGCCTTTTCAAAAGTATGGTATTTTAACAAAAGTACCTATTTTATTGGCATGATGAGAGTCAATTTTCAATAACAAAAGAACAGGTTGCATGAGCATTTACAGCCTCAAAAACTATTTCTACAGATTAAGAAGTTTAGAAGCAAACAAAAGTGAGACTGATATGAAAAAGGAGGAATTACTACTATGAGGTTTTGTTTTATTTTTTTTGAACAAAGATGCAAATTGGTCCAGATTTTTATTAAAAGCATAATCTGATATGAATGGATGATTTGGAAATCAAATACTCTAATTAACATTAATATTTTATGACCCATCACACAAAAGCCTCAGAAAAATCCAATGAACTCTTAACTTCCCCTACCTTTGCCTTGTTTTCTTTATCTGTAAAATGGGAATTATAAAACTTACTTACAGGAAGATTATAAGGGTTAAATGAGACCATGACACAGGGCATTTAAATACAATAAAATTACAAAGTAATGTTAAATTATTATGATGATCATTATTATTAATTATGATATACTAAATCCATATAAAAGCAAGCTAATTCAAGTCATTGTGACATTCTTATCTTTTTGTGACATTCTTATTTTTATCATTATTATTATTCAATATTTAATTAAACATTTAAATGCTTTCAAGTGTTTTTGAACAACAAAAAAGACTTTAAAGTATCTTTCCATTAACCAATTTTGAGAAATGGAAAAAAATTACAGACTGATATAAGTAAGTAAAAAAAGAAAACCACAAAATCCCAGATAAAAACTTATCATATATTCTGAAATGTGTTGACTATTAGATCCAAGCTTACCTTGCAGATAGTATTTTAATAAGCTCTTTTCTATTCTGCACCCGAAGATCATTGGTTTTATACTTGTAGTCATCGATCAACTCAGGTAAATTCAAGATCTAAAAGGGAAAAATAATTTTAAAGTATAGATCACAAGTTTTCCGTGTACCTTCAGGTCCTAAGGGTCCTGCCATTCAGTGTCTGTCACTGCTTTCCCAAGGGGATGAGGAAAGAATAAACAACTGGGATGGACTGTGCTGGTGAATGGGCTTATCATGTAAAGAGGAGGTTCTTACACTTTTTCATATATGTCTACCTATGGGAGCTCAGAAAAAGAGTTATTTATCAGATATCTATACTCTCTTAAACCCATATATGAGAATTCAGAACAGTTATCAGATCCTTATGGTAAAAAGTCTTGCTGAGAGGAAATATGGAGAGAGATACAAAATTGGAAAAAACTGACTTAATTCTGAGACTAATATCATCAGTGCCTGTCTGCACTTGTGTGAAGCCCACAATCAACATACGTCTTATAGGTATATTTATTTATTTGTTCCATATGTAAATAAAATATTATCTGCCCAGTAGTCCCATCCAAAATGCTGTACAAGGTACTAAAATAAAGGGAAAGCACATACATTTGCCCTAATGCTAACCATTAAAACAATGTCAGATTAAAAGGTCTTCTTCCTATCGGAGTGTCACTATTTTTCCTTAGTATGTCTCCCCAAGGAACACCAACTAGAAATGCTTCCTCTTTTGCTGCTCCTCACTAAAGAGAAAATCTATCTTGCAAATCCCTTTGGACATCTTGCAATGTTAACAAGACCATAATGAAAGTACCAAGTGGATTTGGAATGGAAAAGACATTTTGGAAAAGAATGTGTGGAGGCAGAGTTTGGCAGTTGTGTTGGAAAGTCAGAAGGAGCATTTATGGGCTGGGGGCAGGCCATGTGGCCTAAAGCCTCACTGTATTAATGTATTTGCTTTCAATATAAACATTTAATGGTTTCATTTGTTTCCCACAGTTTAAATAAAATCAATCCATTAATCATCTTACAAAGGAGAGAGAAGTGAAGAAGATTCCCCGGAGTAAAGAGACCATCTCAATGGTATAATTCCTCTTTTACGTGTTCCACTTACTTGTTTCTTTCAGGAACAATAAAAGCAGCACTACTCTCCTGGATTTAAAAAAATGATACCAAATACAGTGCCCTTTCTAGAAACCTCCCTGTCACCACTCCTGATCCCAGAATTGGCCTCAGGGCTTGTCCAGCAGTCAGAACAGAACTCTCTCTAAGAGCAAATAAGTCACTTCAAGAAACAGCAAGTACCTTTCCTAAAACACAGATTAAATTTATACATCTGGCCTCACCCAGAATACATCCTCAGCTACATAAAAAAAATGTAGAGTGACTATACTCAAGGGGGACTAGGACACCCATGTGGTCTCTGTATTTGACTGATTGGACCCTTTTCTCCTTCAAAGTTGTGAAATAGTGAGTCAAAGTAATTGTCCTATCTTCAGCTCTGCCAGCTAACATTCAAAATGTTTCTAGAGAGACAGCTTCAAGAACTATGATCACAACCATTCTTTAGGTACATGACAAAGAATGCTACCTGGGAGAAAATGAAATTGTATATGAAAATGATTGACATATTAAGCACTAATAAAATGTGAACTATTGCAATGAGGCACTGTTTGCTTTAAAAGAAACAATGAAGCATGTTTGTTTGAAAAATAAGGGAGAGAAGCAGGCTCCATGAAAAATAGTAAGACATAATAACAGAAACTACAAAGGGTTTTAATTCTCCTGTTATATGATACCTTCTTATAGCAAAAAATAAACTTCTGATAGCCACCAAAGCACTACATGACCTGGTCTGTCACCTCTGTAACATCACCTTTTACCATCCTCTCCCCCCTATGCTCCTATTCCAGCTTCTTGCTGGGCCAGGAACATGTCTATCAGCCTTCCATCTCAGGATATTTGTACCAGCTCTTCCCTTGCTGGAACATCTCTCGCCAGATGTTCAGTTGTCCAGCTCCTCCTTTCCTCCATTGAATCTGCTAAAGGGTTCACTTTTTAAAGGAACTACCTTGAGCACCCTAACTTGTTACCTAACTTATTCTTGTTACCTAACTTATTATATTTATTGTTTATTATCTATGTGGCCTTCTAGAATGGAAGCTCCACAATGTCAGAATACTTTAGAAGTTGTTCACTGATATATCTCAAGTGCAGATAACATATTTACCAACCACCTGACTGACGCACAGGTAAATAATATAAGCACTCTGAAATACATGATCTTCCAAACATTACTGTAGGCATAGACCTTATTTTCACAGCTTCTTTAATGTAGGTGTTTCTTACAATCTATGGCATCTTAAAAGAACTGCTTGCTAGGAGAGAATTGTGACAGTTGTCACAAAACCAATAGGTCATCGTCATCACCTTACATGCATTATTCATACAAGAGATATTAAGTTCAATTGCCATTTAAAATGTCATCTATTATAGTATATAATGTGATTATAATTCAGTCCTGATCATAATTCAGAACTGAAATAAAAGGACATTGTATATACAATAAGGCAAAGTAAAAAAAAAAGCTCCAGTTATACTATAAGAACTATTAGAAGCTAGTTTTTTTTTTTTTTTTAGGACTGAAATTTTATTTTATTTTATTTTTTTTTTTTTTTTTTTTTTTTTTTTATTTTTTTTTCATTTTTCTTTTATTATTCATATGTGCATACAAGGCTTGGTTCATTTCTCCCCCCTGCCCCCACCCCCTCCCTTACCACCCACTCCACCCCCTCCCGCTCCCCCCCTCAATACCCAGCAGAAACTATTTTGCCCTTATCTCTAATTTTGTTGTAGAGAGAGTATAAGCAATAATAGGAAGGAACAAGGGGTTTTGCTGGTTGAGATAAGGATAGCTATACAGGGCATTGACTCACATTGATTTCCTGTGTGTGGGTGTTACCTTCTAGGTTAATTCTTTTTGATCTAACCTTTTCTCTAGTTCCTGGTCCCCTTTTCCTATTGGCCTCAGTTGCTTTAAGGTATCTGCTTTAGTTTCTCTGCGTTAAGGGCAACAAATGCTAGCTAGTTTTTTAGGTGTCTTACCTATCCTCACCCCTCCCTTGTGTGCTCTCGCTTTTATCATGTGCTCATAGTCCAATCCCCTTGTTGTGTTTGCCCTTGATCTAATGTCCACATATGAGGGAGAACATACGATTTTTGGTCTTTTGAGCAGGCTAACCTCACTCAGAATGATGTTCTCCAATTCCATCCATTTACCAGCGAATGATAACATTTCGTTCTTCTTCATGGCTGCATAAAATTCCATTGTGTATAGATACCACATTTTCTTAATCCATTCGTCAGTGCTGGGGACATCTTGGCTGTTTCCATAACTTGGCTATTGTGAATAGTGCTGCAATAAACATGGATGTGCAGGTGCCTCTGGGAGTAACAGTCTTTGGGTATATCCCAAGAGTGGTATTGCTGGATCAAATGGTAGATCGATGTCCATAGCTTTTTAAGTAGCCTCCAAATTTTTTTCCAGAGTGGTTGTACTAGTCTACATTCCCACCAACAGTGTAAAAGGGTTCCTTTCCCCACATCCTCGCCAACACCTGTTGTTGGTGTGTGTTGCTGATGATGGCTATTCTAACAGGGGTGAGGTGGAATCTTAGTGTGGTTTTAATTTGCATTCCTTTATTGCTAGAGATGGTGAGCATTTTTTCATGTTTTTCTGGCCATTTGAATTTCTTCTTTTGAGAAAGTTCTGTTTAGTTCACATGCCCATTTCTTTATTGGTTCATTAGTTTTGGGAGAATTTAGTTTTTTAAGTTCCCTGTATATTCTGGTAGAAGCTAGTTTTTAAATAGAGGAAAAAGTAAATTCCCTTTGTGAAATGTGAGGTTTCACAATTTCTCAGCAATTCATATCACCCAATCTCCCCTCTGCCAGTGCAAATGCTAGATAAGTCCTTGTACAGGGATTTGTTGCAAACAAGTTTTCTGAGGTGACAACCATTGGTCCATTGTTACTATAGACCCACTCCAGCTTCCTTTTGATTAGTATTTTCATCTTTGTTTAGGTTTTATGTCTTTAACTTCTGATTTGCCAATGTCATTAAATTTGGAGTAAATTTAGTGGATATAGCATGGAGTTGAGTAATGGGTTTATTTTTTTTTTATCTTTTCTGAAAATGACTGTCTTTTAATTCATGTAGTTAGACCACTCACATTTAATGCTATTACTCACATTACATTATTTATATTATTTACATCTATCTATCTTTTTTTTTTTTCTGTTTGTTCTGTTTTTCCTTTCCTTCCCTGTTTGGAGTTTGTTGAAAGTTTTTAGTATTATATTTATCAATTTTGACTTTAGCTATTTTTTGTACAGATTTTAATGATTAGTTTAGGATTAACAGCATATCTGCCTAACTTTTCACAATGTACTTCAAAGCAATAATTTACCACTTCAAGTAGAATACAAAAAACTTACCACAGAATAGGTTGTCTATATCCACTAAAAATTCCATTAGATAGTTTCTTAAAATTTGCTTTTACCCATCAAACATATTTCAGACAATTCACAAAGCAAATAACAGTCTATTTATATTCACACAAACATTACTCTTTCTGTGTCCATCCTTCATCCTGATGACCCTCACCTCCTTCTGACATCATTCACCTTCTGTCAATGAAGAACTTCCTTTAACAGTCCTACTAGACTAGGTCAGCTGGCTTCAGATCCTCAGAGTTACACTTTATATGACAATGTCTTTGCTTAACCTTCATTTCTTAAGGATATTTCTACTGAATATTCAAAGCCAGCTGGTAGCTCTTTTCTCTTAGGCTTTTAAAGTGTTGTGCTACTTCTCTCTAGGCCCTATTGTTTCTAAAAAGAAATCTGCAGTCAACTGTTTTACTCTTGGCCCTCTCAGGACTTTTTTATTAGTCTTTAATTTCAGTAGTTAGACATTTATGTATTCGGGCATAAGTTTCCTTGGGCTTCTCCTATTTTGGATTTGTTGAAATTATTAAAACAATAGGCTTTTATTTTTCACCAACTTTGAAAATTTTCATCCACTG